CTGTTGCCCTTTGATTTCAATCCCTTCAATTTGATAAGCATTACCAAGTACCAATTATGGCCCAGGAGCAGGGACAATGAAGACCAATGAAGACCACGGCTTTGCGTATGTGCCAGCAAAGCTGTGGAGGCCATTTACCCGATGTGCTATTCCATACATAACCCTATACTGTATGCTTTATGAATCAATAAAAAATTTACAATTTTTAATTATAAACCTGTGTTTTCTATCAAAATTACTTCTTGCGTGAATTTTGGGACACCCTATAGTAGTGCTCTATGAGTCTATTAAGACCTTTGTTTCAACCACATCAGTGTTTGTTTTATTCATCCCATTTCTTTTTTTATTTTTATTTTTTAATCCTCACCCAAGGATGTTTATTGATTTTAGAGAGAAAGGAAGGGAGAGAGAGAGAAACATTGATGTGAGAGAGAAACAATGATCAATTACCTCCCATATATGCCCCAACCATGGATCAAACCTGCAACCTAGGTATGTGCCCTGACTGGAGTTGAAACAAGAACCATGTGGTGTACAGGACGACGCTCCAACCAACTGAGCCATCCGGCCACGGCTCATCCAATTTCTTAACCCTCTAAAGATTTCCACCCTGCTGGGATGAGTTTCTTGACGCTTCACTTTTTCCTCTTTGATTTGCTCCTATCAATGTTTGCTTTATTCACCTGATTTCTTAATAACTGTTTAAACATTTCCACTCTGCTGGGGATGGGTCCCTGAACTCTCTCCCCTGCCTCTTGGCATTTTCTTGTTAAATAATCTAATGTTTTTATTAGCATCGGTAAGATTCATGAGGGGAAGCTGAGACAGCAAATCTGACCTATTTTGTGGCAGTAAAGTTACACGGGTGCCGTTGCACTATTTATCATGACCCGAATAATGAGCATATTCAGTGGGTGAATATCCTAATTATCATAAAGCCAATTCCATACAGCTTACGTATGAATCATATCAACTGCTTCCTCCAGGGTGTTGCACTTGGCATTTGTAGGGGAAGTTGGCAGTCCCCCTTCTCAGGATAAACAGACTTTGCAGTAGCTTTCATCCCGTCCACCAGGCTGGCTGTTCCCTCAGGGATCACCTGCTGTGTGTCTGGATCGGAGCGAGCCGTCTGTGACCGTCCCAGAGTTAGCGGTGGGTACTGCATCAACTCAAGTTTTGGAAAATTCTCAACCATTTTTCTAAACATTGCTTCCATTCCTCTTTTAAAAAGAAATCTTTTAAAACACGAATAAAACATGGAAATCTGTCTTGCTCCGCCTCCCATATCTCTCAGCCTCTTTTTCTGCCTCTGTCTCTGTGCTGCATCCTGGGTGATTTCCCCATATCTGTCTCCCAGGTGATTCTCTTTGTTGCCTGGATCTAATTTGCACTTAACCCTTCCTTTGACATTTTAATCTCCGCGGCCCTATAAACAGCCTTTAGTCCTTAGTGCTTCCTTTAATTTTCTTATGCGTAAAGCATGCATATGTTATATTCTTGCTCAGATAAGTTCCAGTATTTGACGGGTTGTGTATCGAGGATACATTCCTCCATGGAGGCTTTCAGTTTTTTCTCTCACCGGGCAGCTGAGTTCACTGGCAACGCGAGTTTCCTTGAAATTAAAAATTTCAGCTTAGTGTTTCTTTGGGATATGCCGGTAGCATAAGTTTGGGTTCCAAACATGCTTGAAAGCTGGCCAGGAGATAGGAGGAATTCTCAGGCAGACTCTTTTTCTTTTCCTCCCAGAGCCAAGGCAGGGCAGACAGCTTTCCTGGGCGGTACAGGGTCTTTTGTGTATGTGTCGTATCATTTTGTTTGTTTGTTTTTCCTGTCTTGATCTCTTTTCCCTGAGGTTTTTATTCTCTTTGGGTCCTAGCTTTATGCAAGAGGATCTACTGTCTGGTGAAGGAACAATAAATCATATACTGTATACCAGTCTCTCAGTGTCTAGTACAAGAGGGGAAAATTGATTTTCACTTCCCATGTGTAAATTTTTCATAGTCAAAGCAAGAAAATAGCCCCGGGTGCTAGTTTCCATTATTTAAAAATTTGTGTTTTCTATGACATTGAACATTTTTTCCATCAGCCGTAAATAAAGTAGCTGCCACGCTGTTAGGGGTTTGATTCAACTGCTTAAAATCCTCTGCCTTTCAGCCTAAGTCCAATCAGTAGACAGATTAAACCACACAATAATTTAAACAAAGGAGTGTAGTATGAAGAATTATTAAGCTATACTAACTAGGAAAGCAACTATAAAGACTTGAAGGAAACACTAAACGGTGGGTACCTTAGGAATGACAAAGTTGGAAGGGGAGGCTCCACTTCCCAAGACTGAGGTTCATTCCTCGTTGAAGAAGGAGTGGTTGCAGGTCGTTAGATGGTGGAGAAGGTCAGTGGGTTGCCTAGGCCTGAGCTGGTCCTCAAACGTCGAGCAAGTAGAAAACCATCTCCCAGGTACCAGTGAGCTGTGGGTGGGGAACAGGCAGGCATACAGTGGTGTCAGGGCGCCACTGTGGATGTGAGAGCTGAGTGTGCAGTATTCGTGTACGGAGAGTCATGTGAAGGTGACCACTGGCCCATCTCTGAGACAGCCTACTTCGGGCATGTGGCTGGGGAAGTGTGCCACCAGCTGTGTACCTCACATGTCGGCACTACTGATCAACATGCAACAGGAGCAAGAACAAACACAACACTGCACTCTGAACCGAGAAGAAACCCCTTCCTCCTGCAGTGCCCTCTACTGCTGAGACGCAGCATGTGCTCACTGTAGAAGAAATGCGTACAGGCCCATTGTCATAGGCCGTGTACTGAGTGAACTTGGAGCTGAGAGGCAATAAATAGGTCACTGGTACAGGAGCTGACTGTTTTAAACCCAGAGCCTTTCACTGTGTCTGACATAGAATCAAGAAAGAAATAAAAAAGCAGTGCCTGACATCCAGGAACTGATGTAGCTCTCACGGTAGGCCTCACTGTTACTGCAAACTGATCAGATGCTCACAACTAAGCCATGTGCTCCTACGGAACATGAATGGTCCCATAAGAACATCCACTTTAAACAAGGCCACTGTGCAAAAAACCCACAAAATACCAAGCACCCTCCTCTCTTGCTAAATTAGTAACTGCTCCTTCATTTCCTTACCAGTCACAGCTCTGTCCCCCACTTCAGTCTCCCTTCCCATAGATCAGAGTTACTAGATGCCCAGTGATAGAATTGTCCTGACTTCTGACAGCATCCAAGTCAAAGCAAGTCTCTACTACTTCCTAGACCCAGGCCAAAATTACCCAGCAAAGCCCAGATCCTATAAGAGGTGTCTCTACACCTCTTACTAAGACATCCTGCAGTTCTCCAGGGTGTGAGTCCTTCCGCTCTGCAATGAGTAATACATAAATCCAACTACTCAAACACAGAGGTGTTCTTGGGGTTTTTGACTGAAGAGCATTGACAGAATAAATGATTACTAAGTATATCTTTTTTTAAATCATTTTTTTATTTTTCAATTGCAGTTGACATACAATATTATATTAGTTTCAGGTGTACACCCCAGTGATTAGACATTGTATAACTTATTAAATGATCATCCCAATAAATCTCATACCCATCTAACACCATACACATTTACTACAATATTATTGACTATATTCCCTATACTTTATTTCACCATGACCATTCTGTAACTACAGATTTGTAGTTCTTATCCCTTCACCCCTTTTACCCATCCCTCCCACCCCCATCCCATCTGGCAACTGTCAGTTTTCTCTCTGTGAGTCTGTTTCTAGTCTGCTTGTTCATTTATGTTGTGTTTCAGGTTCAATTGTTGATAGGTAGATATCTGTTGCCATTTTACTGTTCTTTTTTCTTCTTCTTCTTAAAGAAGACCTTTTAATATTTCATATAATACTGGGTTGGTGATGATGAACTCCTTTACCTTTTTCTTATCTGGGAAGCTCTTTATCTATCCTTCAATTCAAAATGATAGCTTTGTTGGATAGAGTAATCTTGGTTATAGGTCTTTGCTTCTCATCACTTTGAATATTTCGTGCCACTTCCTTCTGGCCTGCATAGTTTCTGTTGAGAAATCAGGTAACAGTCTTATGGGAACTCCCTTGTAGGTAACTGCTTTTCTCTTGCTGTTTTTAGGATTCTCTTTGTCTTTAACCTTGCATTTTAATAAAGCTTTATAAAGCATCGATGACAGAGTGGTTTAAAAGGATAGTTTATTTGTAATTATGTGAGGTGATATTAACTAAACTTATGATAATCATTTTGCAATATATACTCACATCAAATCACCATGTACTTATAAAACTAATAGAGTTATATGTCAGCTATATCTCAGAACTAGGGAGAAAGGATCCTTTAATATTGTAGACAGTTTTTAGTTTTGATAAATTAGTTCATGTAAACAAAACACAATAAAATAAAATAAAAAACCAACCTTTAATTTTCTGATAACTTTTCACTTTGTCCCCAGATTTGATAGTTCTATAGTTGGGGGTGAAATATAGAAAGTGTGACTATGAATGCATATATCTGTTGATTTCTTGTACTTACAAAATGAAGTTTAATAAAAATGTAATCTGGATAATTATATATACAAGAAATAAAAGCCTCTGAATTTGGCGATTGTATAGATGTACATGTATACAAGAAGTGATCAATAGCTATATTCTGGTACAATTTTAATGGGAGAAGTGCCAAGAGCAGTTTACTTAGTTCTTGTTTCCTCCACATTTTAAGTAAATTCACATACCGGTGATTTCAGAAGCAAAGAGTATGATGATGTTTCCCACCTACCCATCCTCTCTTACAACCATTCAAATGAAACCATTTAACTCTTTAATGACGGTGGGGTAGAAATGACCTATTTTCTGTCTGGTCATAAAGAAAGCTTTTATTTATTAGCACAAGAATTTTTTTGGAAATTGGTATTTTCGAGCTCAATGCCGTGACTGTGTTTTTACTTGGAATCTTCCCCTCCGTTTTTCCTTGTTCTGTGCAGATTACCAACGCCTGATGACGGTGGCGGAAGGCATCACCACACTCTTGTTCCCATTTCAGTGGCAGCATGTGTATGTGCCCATCCTCCCTGCTTCTCTGCTACATTTTCTTGATGCTCCTGTCCCTTATCTGATGGGTCTTCAGTCAAAAGAAGGAACTGACCGTTCTAAATTAGAACTTCCTCAAGAGGTAAAAGTTACCATGAATGATGAAGCATTTGCTGTTTGTTGATTTAGGTCAGGGATACTTCCCTTAGATAGTATTGCCATTGTCCAAACCCTGTCTCTGTTCTGAATCTCCCAAGTAGGTTTCGGGCAGAGCTAGTGACTGCAGGTCCTGACTCCTGGTGGTTACTGTGACAGTAGTTAATTGAACCTGGTGCAAAGCAGGACGATGGCATATAAATTTGTGAAGATGGAACAATAGTAATGTTACTTAATTGCTATATTATTCTAATGACATTTTCTTCCCTTTTCCCCATTCACATTATACATTTTGTTTCTAAAACAATGCAGCCCAATTTTAACATCCTTTGAAATCATTGTATTAAACGAGGCGAATTTGATTCTTGACCTCCATCAAATGAAAAGTAACATCTTTCAGCAAGCTGGGGATAATGGGAATATCAAATACTTTAGTATTCGTTGTTTTCTGGCCTAAGGCTAGTTATCAACTTTTTCTAAATGTCAGCTTAGCTAGGTGGTAGAGATAAGAATTCTAACCCCTAGTTTTTAGGCCCCTTGAGGTTACTGTGCTTTCTGTGGGTTATATTTTCAAATGTTGTTTAAGGAGAAAGTAAACAGGAACTTTTGAAAGCATTTTAAATCTGGTTTTTAGCTGTTGTTTAGGGTCCTCAGAATTACAGTGTTAAGCCTTTGAAATGAAATATCGATATGAATGCCATGGCCTATTAAAAAACATAAAATGGTTAATTACGTTATTATCTATTTAATTAGCACCTTTCTTAATGAATCTTTCGTGCTGTGCTTCACTTTTTTTTCTTATTTCCCATAGAATGTCTCATTTTAATAAGTGAATTTAAAAATAACACACTAAGCTGCAGCCATCATACTCAGTATTGATTCCTGTAATCATCCATTGCTTACTTTATTATAATGAACATTTTCCTACCAAAATTAGCATTTCTGTTCCTGGGAAAGTAAGCATGATTCAGATCATATAAAACACGCAGTTGGTCTTTTAAGCTTCCGTGTATGCTTTCTGCTTTTCCTCCTTATCATGCCTCTTTTTTTTGTTACCTGAATGCTCTTGTCTTCTCCTTTATTAAGCTGATCTCAGTACCGTGATGGCTTAAAGACGTAACTCCTTTAAATTTTCAAGGAAAGAGAAATAGATTGGCCAAGTGAATTTTGTTTTAAAGTCTTAAACAGTGACCTGTTTTAGTTTCTTGAGTATCTGGTCTATTTGTATGTTACTCAGATGATATTTTATGAGATCCTTTGTTTATATGTAAATATTATCATTCCATTTTTTGCATGAGTAATAATTGTTGAGGATTTTAAGATACTACCCCCTTAGTTGGTTTGGCTTAGTGGATAGAGTGTCGGCCTGTGGGCTGAAGGATCCCGGGTTCGATTCTGGTTAAGGGCACATGCCAGGTTGTAGGCTCGATCCCCAGTAACGGGCGTGCAGGAGGCAGCCAATCAGTGATTCTCTCTCATCATTGATGTTTCTGTCTCCCTCTCCCTTCCTCTTTGAAGTCAATAAAGATATATTTTTAAAAAAATACTGCCTTGATGTAGTTGGGAAATCTTTCTGTCTCTGTGTGTATCCTTTCACTCTAAAGATAAACTTAAAAAATTTTGTAAGTTTTACAGTAATATCTGTGATTTTCTAATTTTTTTATTCATTAAATCAACACTATTCAATAAATATACATGCCTATCTATTCATAGAGTAGAATAATATGAAATTACTTGCATCAGCTGTGACAATAGCAGTGCTTCTGTATAGAAAGTATAAATTAGTACATGGCTTTCAGAAGAAAGTATATCACTTTGCTCTGGTATCATTTTACAATGAGATGAAATAATGTACTTCACATAATTTCGGGAGGAAATAGGTATAAAAATAGCCATTTAAAAAAGTACTTACTGGTTAATACACTAACCACCCCCCACCTTTTTCTGAAAACTGTAAAATAAAATAATAACTAAAAATAACAAGGCTTCTTAGAATAGTTGTGAAAATGTTTACGAAATGGTTATTTTAAGAACGTATGACTTTAGTTGTTAGTTGACTGATGTAACTACATAGCCTTAGAATTAACCACCCACTCACTTTCCCCATGATTCCAAATGATGGGTACAGGGAGCCATTTGTTGTATTGTGTTTTTCTGGGGTGGGGATGATGGTGGAAGGATATAGCACTGAGGAATAATTGCATAGGATGACACCTCACTTTTTAAAAATATATATATTTATTGATTCAGAGAGGAAGGGAGGAGAGAAAGATAGAAACATCAATGATGAAAATCACCAATCTCCTGCCCCCTGTATGCCCCCTACTGGGGATCAAGCCTGCAACCCAGGCATGTGCCCTTGACCGGAATCGAACCCGGGACCCTTCAGTCCGCAGGCTGACACTCTGTCCACTGAGCCAAACCAGCCAGGGCGCTTCAATACATTTTTATAACAAAAGTTCCCATTTCCCATCTCTGCTCTGTGATAATCAAAGCCCCAGCTTGGGCTCTTCTCTCCATTCACAGAGAGTCTCATGGGAACACAGAGCCAGGCCAGTAGCCGTGGTGCTGGAACACCCACCTTGCCACACACTTTCAGCTCAGCAGTGATGACATGAGCATTACAAGCTTTAAAATTTCCCAAAATGCATCACTTTTTCTTTTCCTAGGAGAAGGTGAGGGATAAAAAAGGATAGCAGGAAGGCATTAAATGGAAGCAGTACAAGATGTAAGTGGTGCGAGGTTGCTGGTTAACATTTAGATTAGCAAGTTAGTGGATTTTTTCTTCCATTTTAAAGATATTGAATCATCCATTTGAATTAGGGTGACCTACTTTCTCCCTGTAAGCTTTTCAATATAGCCTGCTTTCTAGAGACTAAAATACATGTAAAGATGTGGTTTTAAAGAAAGCTGTCAACAGCACTACTGTCTTCAGCAAGATGTGTGACTCAAGCTCTACTTCATTTAGAGAAAACTGTTGACATTGGAGAAGAGGAAAGATGTAGGGAAAAATCCCTTAAACCACCAGGCCCTTAGAGAATGCATATCTGAGACAGGTGTCAGGAAGTCAACCACCTTTTTGGGCCTCAGTTTCCTCATCTGCAGAACTAATGGGTTAGATTCGAAGGTTACACCACACTTGAAGAAGTTACTGTTGGTTCTCTGTTTTTAGGTGGGGGATATCTTGAGTTTGTATTGAGCTTGATTTGGAACTTTGCTATACTTCTTGCTCATCAATATCTAACACGAAGAGAAAAACAGAGATCCAACTGTTGGCTCTCCTCATTTCACCTTTCCTCGGCATTCAGGACCAGAGGACCATGTGAATTCTCCCCTGGCCGACCTGGGGCGGGGTGAGGGGGGGTCTGGGGAGGGAGATGGGGAAACACAGATGAAGCTTCCTCTTCTGTTTGTTGACTTGCACCCTATGCCCTGTGTTCAGCCCCTAATGCAGTCAGAATCAGTTTTATGTGCCCCTTCCCTCCCCAGACTAGGGTTTCGGTCTTCCTTTATACTCACAACCTTGTTCAGATTAAGAGGGTCTGAAGAGTAAAAGTAAAATTCCATTTTGGAGTCTACTTATAATCAAGTACCTGAGAGATAATCAAAATTTTATGCAGTGCTTGGCTCCTTGAATGTTCCATGTGTACTTGAAAAATATTTAAAAGTTTTTTTATTGAGAACCTAGAGTAGAAGCAAACTCATAAAAACATTTCCTCTGATTACTATCTCCTCTTTTCCCCAACTCAGAAATGTCAGGATCCTGAGTCAGCTCTTAATTATCCAAAGGTTAATCGTTTATTGTTCTCTTAAGAACTGCTTCTGCCACCTCCCTCTGCCTCCTGTTCTTATCTAATAACTTCTGAAATGGTTTTGTTGTCCAAGAGGTTGAAGCTAATTTGGGATAAAGTAAAAATGTGTGGGTTTGCTGTGAATTTGGATTGCCAATTTTATCCCATTTTTTTCAGGGCGGGAGGGAGTACTGTAGCTGCTAAATTTTAGCAGTTGTTGTTATTTCTAAATTACAAATGGTGTTAGAGCAGTGGAATGGCATAGAAAGTTCAAGCTCATTCAGTGAGCACACCCAGTGCCTTCGATTTGTAAAGTACTTACTATCAGTCTGTGCACCTTTACTCACTTGTGAATACCTAATGGATGCCGTGTATTACAGAAGCATGTCTTGATTATAATAAATTGATGAGACCCAGGAAAATTATGTGTTTCTATTACATATGGTATAGAACACTCACATAAAGGTAAACTGCTGGCAACACAGATTTCCTTTTAAAGAATTAAAAGTCCTTAACCATGAGAAGGTTAACATAAAAGGCTGTGTAATTTGTGATTTTGTTTCTAATAATTGGCAAGGCTATTTTAGAACTTAAAATTCCTTTATTCTAAAACCATTTTCCCCCCTTCTTTTAGGCTAACTTGTGTTTTGTGGATATTGACAACCATTTTATCGAGTTGCCTGAAGAATTTCCACAGTTCCCCAATAAAGTGGATTTTATCCAGGAACTCTCAGAAGTTCTTCTTCAGTTTGGGATCCCTCCTGAGGGCAGCCTGCCCTGCAGTGAGAGTGCCACCAAATTGAAGAATCTGGTTCTGAAAGACTTGGTCAATGACAAAAAGAATGGCAACATCTCCACGAATAGCATCAGCATGTATGAGTTCCTGAAGGGCAACGAAACCATAGCCCGGCTCCAGGCTCTGGCCACGCGGACCGGTGTGACCGTGGAAAAAATGGACCTCTCTGCCTCTCTGGGTGAAAAAGAAAAAGATTCGAAGCTGCAGTGTGAAGAGGCAGAGCTAAGGGACTACCAGCTCAACGTACAGCTCCGAGAGGTGTTTGCTAACCGCTTTACCCAGATGTTTGCCGACTACGAGTCGTTTGTGATTCAGAGTGCCCAGGACATGGAATCCTGGCTCACCAACCGGGAACAGATGCAGAACTTTGACAAAGTAAAAAGAGCCATCGTTTCCTTTTATGGTTCTTAGTGGGCTATCTTACTTGATTTTGCTAACTTATTTTAAACACAGATTTTTTTATTTTCCTCTCTCCCTGTCCTTAAGAACTTTTCTTTACCAGTATTTTACACTAGATAAAACAATTACACAGGAAAGCAAATCAAGTAGCTCATTAAGCCGGCTATTGAATTTTGTATTAAATTGCCTTTCATTTCATTTTTAAATGTTCTGTACTTGAAATTTTTGAATTATAGAAACTCAGATTTCACAGGTTTTTGAAATCTGTTAACACTATCTGATCTTGTAAGAGTTTCATTGACTCTTATTTTAGTTAGGATCAGGTGTAGTTAAATAAGGCCTATTCCTTTTCTAATAAACCCTGTTTTTATATTTTGTCTCCAATATAATGAAGTTATGATTTGTCCATGTTAAAGGTAACAAACAGTTTAGTTTCAGAGGCCTAATTTTTATCTCATTCGAGGATCAAAAGAGAGAAAGAGAAATGAATTAGGTTTTATGACTATAAGCCTAAGGTTCTGTTTCAGTTTTGGAGAAAGGAAAACAGAAAGTACCACCAGCTTTTGATTGTCCTGCTGGCGTTGAAGTCTTGCTAAGGTTTACTCCAGATTATTCTGCCAGGTTTTTTTTGACATATCCATCGGGCACTCCCCGCCCCCCCCCTCTCCCCCAGGACAAAAGCACTTAAGGGAGGGGCATTAACTCTTTCAGGTCACCAGGGTGTAGTTCCGTCTCCTGCCTCTGTGGTAGCTGGGGCATGATATTGCTATTAGAATGAATTATGGCTTTTCGCTAAATGGTATCCTTTTGTTGTGAAAGACCCCTTAAAGGGGCTAACCCATTCTAAGAGCCTAATCTACAATCTTGGAGCATCTGACAGATAAATGTTAATTTTAAAATTCTGTAAGAGTGGGTAGTATAAAAGATTATTTTCTGATTTCATCAGATTTTTTTTTCAGGTGGAGGATATAAACTATGATGAACAGCTAAGTTCTGGTGCCCTTTATGTTTGAGAAAACTTCTTAAATAATTTAAGAAGCCTTCACTTCTTCAAATGTATCTGTGCTCTTAGGTTCCTTTCTCATTAAGCTTAACCATTTTTCCACATTTTTTTCCTATTCAGCTTGGAACTGCTGTGTACAGTCATGATGCTTGGGGTAATTCAAATTCTTATCTAAATCGGGCACTGGTACTTTCTTCCTCCTTAATCTTTATGTAGCTTGAAACTATAAATGGAATTCTTTTTATATAACCCCTAGAGAAATGAAAGTTTCATGTTGGATTCCTGAAGGCTTGTAATCATCTAATTTTCCAGTAGGAGAATTTACAGGACTGTCACATACTAGTGGTGCAAGATAAGTCTTTGTGGACCTTAAATGTTGTGGTCCTTGAGGGTCTGAATATCAAAGCCAGACATTTGGCCTATTTGGGGGGTGGGGGGAGGCTTTTTGCTCTATAAAACGTAATCTTGCTGTTTATCTGTGAAATAACTTTTTAAGGTAGCGGTTCTCAACCTGTGGGTCGCGACCCCTTTGGCGGTCGAACGACCCTTTCACAGGGGTTGCCTAAGACCATCCTGCATATCAGATATTTACATTACGATTCATAACAGTAGCAACATTACAATTATGAAGTAGCAACGAAAATAATTTTATGGTTGGGTCACAACATGAGGAACTGTATTTAAAGGGCCAGAAGGTTGAGAACCACTGTTTTAAGAAGATGAACTGATTTCTAGAGACTACTGTGAACCCTTTTCTGGCTATTTGGATGTGTAAATATAACTGAACTATGGAAGTACTTAAGTTAAGTAAGTGGGTTTCTGTAAGGAAGTTTTTAAAAGGCTCCCTAAGTTTCAGAATGAGAAACGTGTTAGAAAGAAGCCGATGAGTATTCAGGAGAGTACTCTTACATCGGAACTTACCCTCCCATCCTCGAATCTGTTTGAATCTGCTCTGAAGAGCGAGAAGTCAAACCAACCCAGCAGCTGAAGTAGTCATTCATCCTCAAATTTCAGCTGGTACCAAACTGCAGCTAGGATTTCTAGACACACAGACCTGAAGAACCACAGGGAAAAAAAAAATGAACACTGTGAATTAAAAGCTGATTACAATGTACTGGCCATTCTGTGCAGCAGACAAACCGGTAACAGGAGCGTGTTGTGCACGTTTCCCGAAGGCTTGGTGGGTTTCGGATGGTTTTTTAGAGAATGCTTTTTTCAGTTGTTAAGGCCCAGACTATTCGGTCAGCACAGGTCCAGGAGGAGTCTGATCTTGATTAATACTCACCCATCAGTCTCTGACAGAGTTGGGGCCTAGAAAAACATCCACTTGAAGAAGAACAAAAAGATTTCACCCATAAAGACAAACTCCATGTTGTTTTTAGTTAAGGTTATTGTGTATATATCATTATGGTATCAGTTAATCACTTCAATGCCTTATGACTTGAAGGTATATTGCGTAGGCTAGAAATAGCAGAAGACATTATAGCTCACTGGGGGAAGGGGTCAAATTTGATGGTCAGTGAAGAGGAAGATGGATGATCCTGTAGCAACTGAGCTATCATCTTTTACTAATGATGCTCTTATTTCCTACATGATGGTCATGAGGATCAGAATGTAAATCAGGTTTGAAAGGTAGGATCAGAGATAAAGACCTAAGTGACTGAAATTCCATGAAATTAGAAAGAAAGGAAGGCAAAGTGAATTTTTAATTTTGTCAGTTTTGTGTGTTACAAGATTTGAAAAGAAATCAAAATAAACAAATAAGGAACCTAATGGACAAAATAAACTGATGAGTAAAACAGAACCACAGGCACAGAAACATGGAACAGACTTATGAATCTGAGGGAAGAAGAGGGGCCGGGAAGAGATTAACCAAAGAACATATGCATCTATGAATTACCTATGGACACAGACAGTAGGGTGGTGAAGGCCTGGGGCGGGGCAGGAACCAGGTAGGGGGGCAATGGTGGAAAAAAGGGGGACATCTGTAATACTATCAACAATAAAGATTTTTTAAAAAAAGAAGCCCTTTGCCGAAACCGGTTTGGCTCAGTGGGTAGAGCGTTGGCCTGCGGACTGAAAGGTCCCAGGTTCGATTCCGGTCAAGGGCATGTACCTTGGTTGTGGGCATATCCCCAGTGGGAGATGTGCAGGAGGCAGCTGATCGATGTTTCTCTCTCATCAATGTTTCTAGCTCTCTGTCTCTCTCCCTTCCTCTCTGTGGAAAGTCAATAAAAAAATATATTTAAAAAAAAAAAAAAAGAATGACCTTAGCAACAGATATTTTTGTTGTATTGAGGTGGGTCTCTTTGCCCTAATAATTTTTTAATTATCTCATTACAGGCTTCCTTTCTGTGTGACCAGCCTGAGCCACACCTGCCATTTCTTTCACGCTTCATTGAAACACAGATGTTTGCCACCTTTATTGATAACAAAATTATGTCTCAGTGGGAGGAGAAAGATCCTTTGCTTAGGGTCTTTGACTCTCGGATTGAGAAGATAGGACTGTATAATGTAAGGGCACCCACCTTGAGGACATCCATATATCAGAAATGCAGCACTTTAAAAGAAGCAGGTACGTTTGCCATGCCTTTTAAAATTAACTTAAAATCCATGGTTATTTTGTATACATTGTTGGCCTTATAAGCCAAAATATTGTCAGTTTTAGACTTTATGGCTCGTCCTTGTAAGAGGTACTTTCTTTAGTTTTGTTCCCTTCTGTTTCTGTGAGTTTATGTCCATCCCATTCCTACTTGACATTCCATTTCTCTTAGAAGAGGAAAAACAGTAAATTGAATGGTGTATGATTACAAGGTTGCTATGCTTTTTATCGTGTTTTCTTTATCACCTTAATGGAAAAAAATGTTAATTTCTGTCTTGCTGTTTATGTTGTTTTTTTTACTTCTGGCCTCTTTTCTCTTTATCCAGGAAAAGATAAGTACTCATTTAAAATAGTAAATCTGAGATGTTGCCTAATTTACATAACTATGACTGTATATTTAGTTTCGTGGTGCCATTAATTACAATGGCTTTTTTTAATAGAAATTACATCTCTGGATTCTTATATTCAAATTAGCGGTTTCCTAACCCTGACACCAGTTTCCCCCTCCAAGAATTATGAGTTTGGGGCCAGTGTAATATAGTAGTCTACAGAATAAACAGTCATATTAATAGTGTTTACTGACTACTGACTATGTGCTGAACATTTTATAGTGTGTTTTACATGCCCTTTTGCATATGATCTTAATGATGAGGGGGGGTTGTAGGCACATTTACTTTTGTTTTATAACTACCCTTATTACACAGTTGAGAAAACTGAGCAGTCAAGCCACTTGCTTGTGATTGTGTAGTTTGTGATTGGTGGAGTCGTGATTTGAACCCAAGTGAGAGTGATTCTAGCCCAGGGGTGGGCAAACTTTTTGACTGGAGGGCCACAATGGGTACTTAAACTGGACCGGAGGGCCGGAACAAAAGTATGGATGGAGTGTTTGTGTGAACTAATATAAATTCAAAGTAAACATCATTACATAAAAGGGTACGGTCTTTTTTTTCAATAGTTTTGTTCATTTCAAACGGGCCGGATTCGGCCCGCGGGCCGTAGTTTGCCCACGGCTCTTCTAGCCCCTGAAGCCTCACTATGATGTGAGCTACACATTTAATAAAGAAACACGTAAAATGTACCGATCCACCCAATTTTATGCATTCATCCCTGGTTCCTAACTCTGTAAATATGTTTGCCAAGTAAACATATTTATCACCTGAGTGCCCCCTCCTTTGATTTAATATTTCTGCAAATGTAGGAGCTATTTGAAAGCAGTTTTTCGTCTGGAGGAAAAGGAGGTAGCAAATGTGCAGTGTCTTTGCTCTGCTTCTGTTACTTGCCTTTCTCACTTTATGTAAGTAGATCAGAGTCAAGGAGTTGTGAGGCTGTCGTTGCATATTTACAGAGAGAAGGATGTAAATAATGTCTCATGTGACCGTAGAGGAGAGAAGGATGTAAATAATGTCTCATGTGACCGTAGAGGAGAGAAGGATGTAAATACTGTCTCATGTGACCGTAGAGGAGAGAAGGATGTAAATACTGTCTCATGTGACCGTAGAGGAGAGAAGGATGTAAATACTGTCTCATGTGACCGTATGGGTCTCTGTAGAACTGGCTGCAACATTGTCCTTGAGGGCTGACCCTTGGAGCCTTCAGGAAGCAGCAGCACTGCTGTGTCTCTAGAAAATGAGGGGCAGAATGAACGAATGGTCTCCGCCTTTTCGCAGTCTAGTCTGACTTCCAGTGCTTTAAAGGCCATCCGAAGAGGATACTGCCTTTTTGAGCCAACTTCACTCTTCCCTTTCTGACAGAATTTTTTTAATGGAGCTCAGCACCGATTCCTTTGTGTCCTTCCAGGAATCTTTTCAATTAACATAGATTTTCTTTCAGCCTCTCAGAGAATTTGATACTCCCACTATCATGACAGAAATTATATAATACTCTTGAAAATGTACCATGATAGATTTAACACATATGAAAATGAGATTCAGCTAACGCAGTCAGTAGTCTCCCAGGAATTTAATTTATCAAAGACTTTTTTAAAAAGTAGAAGGAGGCAGCTGGCTGTGACTGGCCATTCCTCAAAGAGGGCGCGGTTGTTTCTTTTACAGATGAAATTGTCTCCCCCTCCTCCAGCATGAGCTGTGAAGGTTGGGATTTTGTTGTCAACATTGGATTTTTATTGTGTACTGTTTTTGCCTTTTGTTGTCTCTCTTTTGCCTCTTAACTAAAAAGGATTTTGATTTGCAGGTGAATTATTTAGGCAGAGGTTTTCCGCTGTTGACATTGTGGCACCAGAACCTCATGATTTCTGTGCAGAAAGGCAACAAGTTGATCGTAATGCAGTTTTCTTTTCCCTTACCAATCACAGAAACTGGATATTGGCACAAACCCTTGAAATTATAACAGCCCTGATCTCTTAAAGCAGGCATTTAATCATCTCTGAATGTTCAGTATTCACTGGTGGCATAATCACTGAAAAGTAGCTTTGCATTATGTTCCCTATGGCATCCTTACATGTAAACCTGAGAATAGTTCATTGTGAATTACGATTTTTATGTTTCAAAAAGATTCCTAGCTAAAGGAGAATAACTCAGTATCAGATGGATTTCTCTGTCATTTAAATCCAATGGAAAAAAACGGAAGCTCATTTTCCTTTCACGAGGACAGAGGCACTAGTTGGCAGAGATGGAATTTTGTAGTATTTCATGGAACATAAAATTGGCAGGAACTTCATGCCATGAATCTAAGCATTATTTTGCCTAAACCATCTGTTAATTGTGCTTTATAAATATTAGGAAGTATTGGGAGCATAAATAGGGCTGTGGAGTGCCAGGGGTCATTGTTGATAATTAAATATCATTTCACATTAAAACATGGCATCCGCTGGTTTGGCTCAGTGGATAGAGCCTCGGCCTGCAGACTGAGGAGTCCCAGGTTCAATTCCAGTCATGGGCACATGCAGGGAGCATGCAGGAGGCAGCCAATCGATGATTCTCATCATTGATGTTTCTATCTCTCTCTCTCCCCCTCTCCCTTCATCTCTGAAATCAATGATAAAAAAATATTTTTTAACGAAACCTGGCATCCTTTTTGCCCAGCATAGAACATAGGGACTATGTTTCAAGATAAGTTACAAGTTATACATTAAAAATAAAATGAAGTTCAAAAAAATTTTGGATAAATTTCTATGGAGAAAAATTAGGGAAGCTTAACATTTTGAAGTTTATGTCATAGAAGGTAATAGTAGCTTCCTCAGAGCTTACCTTAACACTATTATCGTCAGACACAAACATCTGGTCTGGGTGAAGCACTGATCTCACATAAGATGGTGTTAAGCGTGTTCTTCTCACAAGAGCAGCGCGTCATGGGCAGACCCCTTCCCACCCAAAAAAGAATTTTTTTAGACTGTTTGGGCAATAACTGGCAGTACGAAATCTGTGGTATTCAAAGAAGCAGAATAATCCCAATGTTAGCAGTTCCGCAGTGTTTTCTGTTATTTATCACACAACCACAGTCCCCGCTCGTTCTCCTGTTTTAGTAATTTCTAGGCAGAGGATTGGAGACATAGCCTTGATTTTCTACATTTCCTCTTGAAAATTCAGTTAATGACAACATTTAAGACCAGATATTTTTTTAAAGACTGTGATTTTTTAAAAATATCTTTCTATTGATTTCAGAGAAGAAGGGAGAGGGAGAGGGAAAGGTAGAAACATCAATGAGAGAGACTCATTGATTGACTGCCTCCTGCACGCTCCCAACTGGGGATCGAGCCCCCAACCCAGGCATGTGCCCTTGATCCGAATCGAACTCGGGACCCTTAGGTCTGCAGGCTGACGTTCAATCCTCTGAGCCAAACCGGCCAGGGCCAGATTTTTTCTTTTTTTTTTTTTAACCAAAGACATAATTCATTTTTTCTTGGGTCTCTAACTTTCAATGGTTTTAAAATAGGAACATTGAGTAATTCCTGCCTTTTAACTCTGTCCCATTCTTTAAAAGGTCAGGTTTTTTATCCTCTGGACATTTTCTAAATGCCTGCTTGTTTTATTTGTCTCTGCATTACCCCCTTGATCTAATAAACACTCCTAAGACTCCTACTAATGAGAATGTGACTGTTACTAAAAATAATAAACTTCACATAGCTCCTTGTTTTACAAATTCCTTGCTTTTACAAAAAGAACCACGACTATTTAATGGGTCTTTGTACAAAGAAATACAGTTAATATAAGGCTTCTGTGCTTGCTGTTCCCTTCTCTTTACTTGTCTTTCAGCTCAAGGGAAATATTTGCCATCCATTAAGAATGTTGAATTTCCCACTTACGGGAAACTTGTAATGATGTTTCATCCCCACTGCCCTACTTTTGACAAAGGTAGAAATATTGTGGAAATTAATTATCCAGCATTTACTTAAGATTATCCTTTTTGTACTTATACTGATATTGAAAAGCTTTAGTAAAAATCTGTTTTAGAATGTCAGAAAGAATGAGTTCCTTGTAGGTGCATGAATGGAGGAAGAATTATTTTTTACAGCTTAGCCAATGTCTCTAATTTGTTACAAATTTCTTTTGTAGCCCAGTCAGTTGAGCAGCGGCTGATGAAAATGGATCACACTGCAATCCATCCACATCTACTTGATATGAAAATTGGTCAAGGCAAATATGAGCAAGGGTTCTTTCCAAAGTTACAGTCCGATGTCTTGGCAACAGGGCCAACTAATAACAAGTAAGCACATTCTTTACTTGAGTAGTTGGTTGAGGAATGAATGAAGGGTGTGTGCTCTGCAACTCTAATGGAGTAACGCTTAGCCATTAAACATTTTACCAATCTGATTACCCTTTTCAAAGAACAAATTAATTCATTTGAGATAGGGTTTGACTTTTAATTTGCTCATGTAAAAGAATCCAAAGACTAGAGATTTTTCTTTTTTAGGTAATGTGCACTTGGGAATAGCTTTTCTTTAACTGACTGTGTTTAACGATAATGCTAATCTGTCTAATGGAATTACAAAAGTTGTACTTTCGTTATCTGTGTCATTTTACTATCTGTATTAGTTTCCTAGGATTGCTGTCACAAAATACTACAAACTTGGTGACTTAAAACAACAGAAACTTGCCCAGCCGGCATGGCTCAGTGGTTGAGCATCAATCTCTGAACCAGGAGATCGCAGTTCGATGCCTGGGTAGGGCACATGCCTGGGTTGCAGGCTCGATCTCCAGTAGAGGGCGTGGAGGAGGCAGCTGATCAATGATTCTCTCTCATCATTGATGTTTCTATCTCTCTCTCCCTCTCCCTTCCTCTCTGAAATCAATAATAATTTTTTTTTTAATTAACAACAACAGAAATTGATTCTTTTACAGTTCTGGAAGAGGGAAATCCAAAATCAAGGTATTGGCAAGGCTTTTAGGGGAGGATCCTCCTTTGCCTCTTCCAAATTCTGGTGGCCCCACTCCTTGGCTTCTAGTAGCAAAACTCCAGTCTCTGTCTTCCTGTTTACATGACTGTCATCTCTCTGTGTATGTGTCCAAACTTTCCTCTTTGTATAAGCACATTGGTCTTGTTGGTTTAGGGCTTGCTCTAATGACTTTAACTTGATTACATCTGCAGAGACCCTATTTTTAAATAAGGTCACATTCACAGGTATTGGAGCTAAAACTTCAACATATCTGTTTGGGGGACACAATTCAACCCATACCGTCATCTTTATATTTTTTAAGTGTTGAGTGCAAAAATTGCAAAACAAGCAAAAAGAAAGATAAATCCTGTCATTCTTTATGAAAGATGATTTTTTTCCCAGAAAGTATCTGAATATGGTTAAAAATGGGCTCAGTTACTTGGGTTTAGGGGAGTCCTTGGTTTTAGGTGAATACAAGTGTTTTAGCAAGTGCATGATAAAGAAGGGTTTTACAAGAAAAGATGCAAAGAAGGTTATTAATGGGGAATACAGTAAGTTTGAAAGAACTTTGGGAAATCAGCAGTTCTGGAACTTACTTCATTCTTTACCACTAACCAGCTTAGGAACTTTGGACAAATTGGAATCACTTTCCTCTCTTCTCATCTGAAAATACCATTTTACACCTGTGATCTAATTAAAGAGAGTCAGAGAAAAGGGGGAAAGAAGCCAGGCTGTGGCAAAGAAATGGGCTAGAAGACTGAAGTAAACACAACGTGGGCGTGGCATTGAGCTGCCTAAGTTTTCAGAAGGCAAGTGTAGAATCAGTGAGGGCCATACAAAAGAGGTGGAATTAGGCCTTTTGGCCTAAGTGGCCTACTTGAAATAAGTAATATGAAGGTTCTTAAGAGATGGCCTAAGAGTATTATCAGTGGGGTGCCCTTTGTGTCTGGTGGAAGTGGGATTCTTGCACAGGAGGATGAGGTATTGTGAAAAGCTTTATTGATGTAAAATTAAGGAGGTTCCCTTCTAAGGTCCCTTCTCCCTCCATCTTGCCATGGAAAAAGTCCAGCCTTGTCTTTAGAGCAAGAATGAAGGCCACTGCCCAGAGTTTCTGTTCCATATTTAAGTCCAGTCCAGCATCTGGTTAGCTTGACTTGTGTTCCCAGCTGCAGTCTATTGCATGGGGGGTCCACATGGCCAGGGGCCATGCAGCTACTTAAGACCACATAGCGGGTGAGTCACGGAGCAAGAGAATGCAAGGGAGCAGGAGCAGAGCAAGAGCAGAACAACAGAGAGAGACCTCTTTGTCTAGGGCAGTGATGGCGAACCTATGACACGCAAACTCATTTTTTTGGTTGATTTTTCTTTGTTAAATGGCATTTAAATATATAAAATAGCTATCAAAAATATAAGTCTTTGTTTTACAATGGTTGCAAATATCAAAAAATTTCTATATGTGACACGGCACCAGAGTTAAGTTAGGGTTTTTCAAAATGCTGACACGCCGAGATCAAAAGGTTCGCCATCACTGGTCTAGGGATTCTGTATTCCCAAGTTTTTGTGGGCTTGCATTGGGATGACAGGGTAGCACTTTCCCTGCGTCACACTGACTTCACTGTGCATGTGCCCATTTCCCCCTTTGTTGGACCCCTCCCCCCCGGTGGTTTGCAGGGAATGGACCAGGCGTGAAGTGTAGCTTCCTGGTGAAGCTGCCCAGCTGACCGTGCTTATAATGCCTTGCCTCCCTTTTGCTCTTTTTCTATTATTAATATTAATATACCAGCTAATTGTGATAACAGTATGACGTTTCTACCTTTCAGATGATCTGCTGCACTCTATATGTTGCAGAATTTTTGGTACTTAACTCTTTATTTCCCAGGATGCTTTTAATAAAGTAGTGATGAGCATTTCCAAATTTTTTGACAGATTTGTAAGGGGTAGAGATTTATAATGATAAATATTAGACTCTTAAAGGAAAAGAAGCTGCAATGTGTTCAGTTAATTGACAGGGTTTTACCCTCCATTAGAGCTGCCCCTACTTTCATAAACACTGAACTTGAAATGCATGTTCTCAGAGATGCTGACTATTGGGAGTTCAAACTTTCCAGGTCAGGGTATTAGATATAATGTTCTATTTTTCAGAAATGGGTGAGAATTTTCCATCCAGAACAGATGAGTCATCAATTTATTCACTGTTCTTATTTATAAAATATCCTGTTTAAATCACTTTGATACAGGGAGACTTTTAATTTTAATAGTTTTATTTCCTTTTGATAGCATTAGATTGCTCATTCATTCATTTGGCAAATATTTATGGAACCCCTCCTAAATGTAAGGCACTGTCTTGTATACTGAACGCCTAGCAATAAGCAAAACAACCCAAATCCCTGCTTTCAAGTAGGAGAAAAGAAACAAAGAAACTTAATATGTAAAACAAATAACCTGCCAGGCAGTGATAAGACTTATGATGAAAAAATAAAGCAGGGAAGGGAAGGAGGGAGCTCTCAGGAGGAAAGATTTCAGTTTTTAAACCTTACTGCCATATTTTTTGCTTATAATCTTATATATAATCTCAAGGTTTCCCATTTCCACACAGAGCCCAAGCATTGTCTTTTCAAAGAGACTGTAGTCTGAAAGAAAAAATATCTCAGAACTAATTTCAGGGTAAAGGGATTTATAACCATGCCCATGTAAATGGTTGATCAACTGTTAGCGAGAATTTAATATGCTGCTTACAAGGCAAAAGCAAATAAGCAATCCTTAGTGATTCAGCAAATATTATCTTTGGTAAAATTATGCTTAGTAAATAAGGTTTAATAATGCAAAGAATAAATTAATTACTTAACCAGATCAGGAATGTGTGGATTTTATAGTAATTTTTTAAAGCAGGTGTTCATTTACCTGTTTTGAAAATAAAATTAAATAGGGCATTTTTGTCCCATAGAGTGTATAATAAGATGCTAGTTATATTATGTAAGTTAATATTTATCCTTTTCTTTACCTAAAGTCTTTTCTACTTTGTCTGCCAAGGGGAACGTTCTGCTCTTTATATTCTACCCCTCTTTTTATTATATTAACTAGAGGCTTGGTGCACGAAATTTGTGCATGAGTGCAGGCCTTAGGCCTGGCCGGTGATCGAAGCACAAGTGTCTGGCATGGAAGGGCAGGTCCCAGGCCCTGGGCCCCCGGGCCCCTGCGTGCCCCCCTCCACCTGAGTCACAGCGCCCGCGATGCCACGCAGCGATGCGGTGAGTGCAGCCGGACGCTGTGAGCTGGGACGCAGCGTGGGCCTCTGGGCCACCCAGTGTCGCTGCACAGAAGCCAGGCGGGCAGCGCATTCTCTCCTGGCCAGCCTCACAGACCGGCTCCTGTGTAAACCCACGGGAAGCCCTACTGGCCCCTGCGATCCTGGCGGCTGCAGCTCGACTCACCCAGAAGAGGCCGCATGGGTGTGGGGCGGGCTCCTTGCAGGCGCCCCGGCACCTCAGCATGGGGGCTTCCCCAGCATGGAAGCGCTGGTGTCCTGCAGGAGGGTAGCAGGGGGAGTGAGAGCAAGCTCGGCAGACACCCTGCATTCTCACTGCACCTCCGTCCCCATCATTCCTGCCCTCAGGTAGCTGGTGAGGTTGCAGCGTGTCGCCGACGCCCGCCATGTTCCACACCACCCCCTGGTAGTCAACATACGTTATAGCAAGTGGTCAAACTCCTGGTCTCCCGGTCGAAAGACCACCCAAGGGGACAGTTTGCATATTAGGCTTTTATTATATAGGTTTATTTAGCTGTCATGATTCCATTTTAGATTTTTACTGAAACCACCCTACCTAGTAGCCTTAATTTCTTAAAACACTGAACAGATTTTACGATCTTACACTGTTATTTTTTTTTTCTACAGGGCTGTTTTCAGGGCCTCCAGGTCAAAAATCTATACCCGTCTTTTTTTTTTTTTTAATCCTCACCCGAGGATATTTTTCCATTGATTTTTTTTTAGTGAGAGATGAAAGGGAGGGAGGAGGGACACACAGAGAGAGAGAGAGAGAGAGAGAGAGAGAGAGAAACATTGATCTGAGAGAGACATGGATTGGTTGCCTCCCGCGTGCACCTTGATTGAGCCTGCTACCGAGGTATGTCCCCTTGGCCTGGAATCAAAGCCTCGGGCCCTTCCGTCCTCAGGGCCTTCGCTCTAACCCCTGAGCAACTGACTAGGGCTACACATTTTTTTGTTACTTATATTTTACTCTTTCCCTTTATTGTATAAAGTTTTTATCAGCTGATGTTTATACTCCGCTCCAGAGTTGTTAAAGAAAAATATTCATGACACTTTTTGAAGATGGTAAGACAGACTTTATTCAAGAGACCATGGTGGAAGGTGTAGGGACCACCACAGTGGGGTATCGCAGTGGGGAAGAGAGATTGGCCTCAGCTCCAGACACGTGATGGGCAAGGAGGGATTTATAGCCAAGGAGCAGAGATGGACAGTTACTAAGAGGAAACATTAGGGGTAAGGAGGGATTCAGACTCAGTTGTCCTAACCGGATTCCTGCTGAAGGCTGGCCAGGTGATTGGGCATCACCCAGGGAATGTGAAGGATGAGGAACACAATCAGAAAAGAGCTCCTGTACCCTGAGGGTGGGAGCTCCTCCTCAGCTGACTCGGCAGGGTTCTTACTAAAACTGGATTTTACAGGGAAGTGCACGGATTGTCGTTTGGTCAAGCAAAAAATCTTTGTCAGAGTCTTACTATGTTTTTTCTGGATCTTTTCAGTTTCCTCAATTTTCTTTCTTTTTTTAGTATAATATGTTTTTTTATTGATTTCAGAGAGAAAGGGAGAGAATCATTGATCGGCTGCCTCCTGCATGCCTCCCACTGGGGATCGAGCCCATAACCCCAGTATGTGCCCTTGACCGGAATCAAACCTGGGACCTTTCAGTCTGTAGGCCTATGCTCTATCCACTGAGCCAAACCAGCTAGGGTTCCTCAATTTTCTTTGTATTCTTTTTACAGTCTTACATTGATCCTTTGCTTGGGGAGATTTCCAAGGATTCCCCTTCAGAGATCTATCACTAGATCTTTGCACATTTTTTCCCCTGATATAAACCTACCTATATTTTTTTAAAAAATATATATATATTAAGAGAAGCTACCTTTCTTGCTACCATTTTTCTTATAATTATTTAGTGTTCCTCTAGCATACTGAAATGAGATGATTGAGAAGCTTGAAACCAAAGGCATGCATAAAGTATTTTAAAAGAAACAAAAGAAGCAGCTTTCTCATTTTAAGTTTTTTTGTAAATTGGATACTTTATTAATAAAATAATTAAAAGTAATAAGTTGTCAGAAATGCAATATGACTTTTCCTGAATGGCTAAAATATAAGTTCATTTTAATATATTTTTATTTATTTCAGAGAGGAAAGGTAAGGGAGAGATAGGAACATTAATGATGAGAGAGAATCATTGATTAGCTGCCTCCTGCACTCCCCCTCCTGGGGATTGAGCCCACAACCCGGGCATATGCCCTTGACTGGAATTGAACCTGGGACTCTTCAGTCTACAGGCCAATGCTCTATCCACTGAGCCAAACCGGCCAGGGCTATAAGTTCAGTTTAAATTGTGGGTATCTCTGCTGTCAAGGATATACTCAAGAGTAAATATTCTTAGAATGGTTTGATGAGTACATAGTCAAACCTGGGAAATTTTTAAAAATAGTTTAATATAAAATGATACACATTCATTCAAAATTTTACTGGAAAGCAATAGGGTAAATTTTAAAACCACCCATAACGCCATCATCATGATATGTTAACATTTGGTGGTGTTTTTCCATTGCATGGATCCTGGTGTGTGTGCACACATATGTGCATGTTCACACTTTTTTCTTTTTTACAAAATTAGAATATTGTTTGTAGAATGTTGTGCCTTGCTTTTTTAATTCATTATTGTATCAGGGACACTCTTCCATAGTACCTCCTATTGTTGAATGTTAGGGTGTTTTGAACACATTTAATTAATTCTAACTGTTGGGTGTAAGATCTGCGATTAACTCAAAAGCTTTTTCAAAAAGTATGCATTCAGCATGCTTTTGGAGAGAAAGGTATATCCTAGTTTCAGGAACATGTAAAAGCCAAAATGTGTCTCGGAATAAAGGAAACACACTGCATATGTACTATGATGAACATCTGTAAAACTAAATGTTAGGTTGCATCTGTGATTATTTATTTAAGGTGTATTTATAGAAGGGGCAGGTGACATAGTAGATCTGCCAGTAAAATGGCTGATAGACATGATACAAGCCCTTCAAGAGTTTATAGTAGAGAGGAAAGATAAGTAAGAATAACACACTGGTAGGAACTACAATTGGGGAATATAAGAGGGGTAGAATTTAGATTTGGAAGAATCATAGAACACTTTCCGTGTGCCTTCTAAGCTATCTGGAAGATGAATAGACGTTGGGAGAACACCGCATGGACAAAGGCTCAGATGTGAGAGAGCTTTCCATTGGAAACACTGGGGCAGTTGAAAATAGCTGGGGTTTTAAGGTAAAAGGAGTGATCAGCAGTAGTAAATGTAGCAGAGAGTTTGAGTAAGCTAAGAATGGAATGAATAATAGCCATTGCATATGGCAGGTGGGGGTATCTGGCTCCATCAGGAGCATTTTCATGGGAAGAAGCTGATTTGAGATGAACTGAAGAGCCAGAGGTAAATAAAGGCCTCACATCTAAACTTATAAAGTGTTTTTACATAAGAAGAGTGAAGAAAGAGACTTCAACATAACTATAGAGGATCAGCATGCTTGTAAGCTGCAAGGAAATATTCAGGTGGGGGAGAAAAATAGGGTTGGCAGCAAAGGCAGTGATTCATAGAGCAGGCTGAAGAAGGCAAGAGAGAACTGGTCAGGGATATAGGTGGAACAAATAGTTGTGAGGCATGGCCAGTATGTTTCATACTTCGGGATTAGAAGAAAGATGAGGTGTCTGTGCGTGCATCACTAAATAGAGTGCGTGGGGAAGGAGGCAAGGTGGGTCTTCAGTTGTGTGGAGGTACTTGAGAATAAAGTGAAAGGTGTGGAAATAGTCTTTTGAGGGGGTTTGGGAGTCTTGGCAAAGGGCAGGTAAAGTGATTCGTGGGTAGCCATGAATGAAATAAAAAACTAACCTACATGAGTATGAGAATAAGGAAGTGAGAGGGTAATATTATTCACTCAGGGTTTGGAGTTGTGTTGGGTGGGCAAGATGGAAAGGAGAAGGTCATTACAGAGGAGATAACTACACATTTTTTACAAAAGTCTTGATTGTGGTGATGATTACATATCTCTTTGCATATACTAAACACCACTTAACTACATGCTTTAAATGGGTGATTGTATGGTATTTAAGTTATATCTCAGTAAAGCTGTCGTGTATTTTAAAAAGAAAAGTAAGTATTGTCGGTCTTTTGTTTTGGACAGTTCATTCTTTCTGTTTTTAAAGTGAAGTGACTGCATTGCTTGGGTTTGTTTTCACCTGTGGATTCTATTTCTCAGTCGCTGGGTAAGTCGGAGCGCCACCACGCAGCGCAGGAAAGACCGCCTCCGCCAGCATTCCGAGCACATGGGCCTGGACAACGACTTGAAGGAGGTATGTGGGCTGCCTTCCTGGGATGCTTGATGCAGAGCCACCAGCGAGGCTCACTCAGCCCAGCAGGTGTCATTGTATAGGGTCTTTCCCATTCTTTAAAAAAAACACACAAAAACCAGTTCAGTTATATTTTAAATAGTAATCCTTTTGTACTGACTTAGAGCAGACAACACCTTTTTTTCCCATTTTTGTAATTTTAGTACATTTAAAAAAGGCTCGAATACAAGACTCCTTGTGTATCACAATTACAAGGCCAAGTTTAAGATAAATTTTTGGTCAGTATATCTCTTTTTGTTGTTGTTGTTTTTATTTTATTTATTTTTATTTTTTATTATTATTAGTTAAGGTATTACAAATGTGTCCTCATCCCCCCATTAACCCCAACCTCCCCCGCCCCCCGTCAGTATATCTCTTGTAGGGAAAAAAATTTATAAGAAGCATAGATATTATTTTAAGCATAATTTAAATATAGTAAGTAAAGATGTATCTGCCTGTTCTTTGTCTTTGTGTTGCTGACACCATTTTAAAAGTTTTTTTAAGTTATTTTAAAATTAAGATCCTATGCTTTATTTGTACTACTTGAAAATAAAACCATAATTCTATGTTTGAGTAATTTTAAATAAGTTGATTATTTCTTGAGATCAAAAGAAAAAAATGCAATCAGAAAATCTGTTAACTATAGTCTAAACTCAAATGTGTAAAAATAAAGCAGAAAACATCATTTTAAATATATATTGTTTTTTTGTTCATGCCTATATGATTTTAAACATTTTCTTAAGAACTGAATTTATCTAGTGCTTTTCTTTGTGCTACTGTACTTTCTCTCTCCTTTTTCTTTTGCTCTGACTTTATCGTATGCATGCTTGTTTTGCTTGTCTCTTTCTCCCATATCCTTTTTTTTTTTGTCTTTGGCATTCTCCATCCTCTTAGCCTTCCGGGGAACTTTTGGTCTGTCAGAACTCCATGGCATTCTGGGAGTGGGATCAGGGCCCACCTCCTCCTGCACGACTTCCCAAAAAATCCTTCTCTGAGTGCTGCCTGGTATGTCCTTAACCTGAAAGTACTTTGCAGATGTTCCCAACTCTTGTCTTTGGTGTTCCTTGAATGACCCACTGCGTGAGTGCACAGAGCTCTAGCATGCCCCACATCACCCCGAGACATGAACGCGCAGCCTCTCCATTCTGCATTTCACTGCCTCTTGTGTTTGGCACCTTTTCGTGGTGGTGTGTGCTAACACGAGTATTCCGTACTGTTGGCAGGTAAAACTGATTCTTCAAGTCCCTAATCAGTGTGATTGGGAGGGAGGATGGAGAACAGATTTAGCAAATTATTTTTCTTCCAAAGGGAACTATATTAAATATTTAGACTCCCTTTTATTTAAGCATTTTGCACAAGTGATTTATTTTTAATCAGCTTTTTGGTTAGGTTTAATCTCCACAGCATTTTAATTTACCCTTTCTGGTCTATATTTAATGTGGTCATAAAATCTGGTCATCAAGATAGAATCTTAGTACTAAGAGAAACCTTTGAGGTCATCTTGTCTAACTTGACAGGATGTAACTGAAGTCCAAGCGACTTGTCCAAAGTTAGATGGATGCACAAAGGCAGCGCCGGGCCTGCAGCCCAGGACTCCTGACTTCCAGGCAGGTCCTCTTACCGTAACCCTGCATGCCAGGTGGCACGAAACAGCCGCCCTCAGGGCAAGAGGACTCTTAGTTGTATTTTGTCCTATTATGACATTAGCATAAATTTACCCAACTTTACAGTGTTCTTCTCTTCACAAGCTCAGTGCCAGGCTGTTTATTAGAACACTCGGGGAGAGCCTGTACTGAAGAGTGGTTGGTTCGATGGTTACTAATGAGCAGGATGTATGTTCATAGGTAGTTCCTAGTGGTCCGTTGCTTTTGGCAGAAATGAAGAAGGGCATCTTAGAACTCTCAGAAGAAATCTGAGGTGACTTCCCACCGCAGTGAAATAGGCTATCCCATATAATAAAGAGGTAATATGCAAATTGGCCGTCACTCCAACACACAAGATGCCCCGCCATGTGGTCAAAGATGGCCACCACAAGATGGCCAGCAGGGGAGGGCAGTTGTGGGTGATCAGGCCTGCAGGGGAGGTCAGTTAGAGGTGACCAGGTCGGCAGGGGAGGGCAGTTAGGGGTGACCAGGCCAGCAGGGGAGGGAAGTTAGGGGCAATCGGGCCAGCAGGGGAGCAGTTAGGTGTCGATCATGCTGGCAAGGAGTGGTTAGGGGGTAATCAGTCTGGGAGGCAGAAGCGGTTGGGGCAATCAGGCAGGCAGGCGAGTGGTTGGGAGCCAACAGTCCTGGATTGTGAGAAGGATGTCCGACTAAACGGGCAGTCAGACATCCCTCGAGGGGTCCCAGATTGGAGAAGGTGCAGGCTGGGCTGAGGGACACACACACACACACACACACACACACACACCCATGCACAAATTTCGTGCACCGGGCTTCTAGTAGTAGTATAAAAACATTCCTTGTAAAAGTTTGTCTTTTTCCTCCATTTTCATCTTAAAATACACCTTGTCTTCCAAAAGCAAATCACATTTTTCTCATCACTTGATTTGTACAGTATACAGAGGCCACCTCTCTTCTTGCTGTGAGGAAGGACCTGTGCCACCGTTAGCCTCCTTTCTGTGCATGCCCATGGGATGTCGCTGGCCCTGTGCCTCCAACAGAGATCCTCAGGAGACTTTACACGTAGCCTCGTGGGGCTCCCTGCTGGCTGATAACTGTCCCCACCCCATGGGTACAGTGCTGGGTGCTCAGAATTTATGGCCACTCAAAGGACAGCCCTATTCTAACTTTTCATTTATATAAGAGAACACAAATTTTAAACGGTGCTTAATTATTAATCCAATTATTTTTTCTTCCTACCCTCTTGCCTGACCATGCTCCTCACTCCTTTTCTTGCAGGCAGTGTTTCTTCCTAAGCCAAGTTTGATATTTAACTCTTCTTGAGAATTGAGTCTTGTAGTGGTTCTCTCTGCATTTGCACAAGCCCTACAGGCAGAGGAACTGAGGATGGGGGAGAAGCAGAACCTCACCAGATAACATTTATTTTTACTAGTCTCCTATCTCTGATTTGTAATATTCCAAATAACATTAGTGCAACCTGAAATAATAGGAATTGCAGATAAAATTCTCACATGGGATCCCTGCCTCTATCTCAGGTTAGTTTTTCTAACACTTTATTTTCTGCTTTTATTTCTTTGAAAACTGACCTTCAGAATATTTCAATAGACCTGTTAACACTTAGTTCCCTAGTGGTGATAGTTGTCTCTCATTCTCAGCTTTCCCTCTAAAAATGGTTTGAAGCAGAAAGAGGTATACACAAGTTTACGGGAACTTAATGCTTGTGGAGTTCATTTGATTTTTAAACCTGTACTTAAAATGGTTGCACTGGAAAAGAAGCAGGTCATTTCATTAATGTGGCATTTCATCAGGAGAGTCGGGAAATAGCAGGTAAACTAGTCCGTTGAATCCCTAATCAGTGGGATTTTTTAAAACAATTTATAACAGATTTATCAGATTATTTTTCTTCTGGAGGAGAAATACATTAAATGTACAAACTCCCTTTCATTTAAAGAATGCAAAGGATTTTACACATCTTCGCTTACAATTTCAAATTCTGCCCTTAAGATAGTAAGATAGATTTCACATATGTGTCTGTGGGAGGATGCGCTGGCTAGCAATCTCTCTCCTTCTCCAACAAACTGCTAGTTTTACTATATAATTTAGAGTAGTTATTCTCTAAATACGGTCCTACGATACTTGGAGTTTGGGGGATTCTGTCCTGTGGTCCTGAAGCAAACATAAGGTACCTGAGTGAGCTTTTGCAGGTGGCATAGAAAGAGCCAGCAGGCGTCCCGCACACATCACATGTAGTGATTTTATTTTATTTTTTTCTGGGAATTTACTAACCAAAGCTCAAGCTCAGTGGCCTGGGGTTCTCAGCTACTCTCTGAGCCATCACAAGTATTGCGACGTTTCCGCTTTCTCTTGATGATGGAAGAAGGCACAGGACAAGCCTGTCACAGAAACGAGCGGCCTCCTGCATGTGGACCACATTTCAGTGTCTCCGAGCCTTTCTTGTGAGGGAGGTGGGCCTGTTTTAGGCCCATCTTATGAATAAACAGAACGCCTGAGGTCATAAAATCAGTTGCCCCCAGATTCTAGAGCTCCTGCTGTGACTTGATTGGAGGAAAGGGTTGGCTGGGAGCAGTGCCCGAGAGCCACGTGATCTGCGGGGACAGGTGTGGGAAACCAGTGACCGGAGAATCACTGGGTTCCTGCAGAACCTGGACTGTAACCCAGACACCCAGTTTTTCCATTCCAGCCGTGCTCCTGACTAATCACAACCTCGGGTCTTTCCAATGAAGCGACCGAACTAGATGAAATTCCATCCCATTTGAATGCATTTTAACCTGATGGGGTTTCTGTCCCCCTGTTTTCACAGGGGCTAATGGTTGGTGGGAGCACAGAGGTCTACCTTTTGGCACACTGAAACTTGAATTGCTGTTGCACGTGTACACTTCCGTTGTTCCCACGCTTGCTTTTATTCAAGGTTAAATAGGTCAGAAGAATATCTGATGTTTATGCGTTAAAAATGCTCTTTAATTTTTAGAAATATATGCAAGAGGCACGAAGTTTAGGAAAAAACCTGAGGCAACCCAAATTGTCAGACCTCTCTCCTGCCGTGATTGCACAGACCAACTGGAAATTTGTGGAAGGCTTATTAAAGGAATGTAGAATGAAGGTACGTATTACAGATGCGAGGACACGGTGTGCTTTCGCGGTTGCTCGACGTGTGGGGCTATGATGAGCAGCGGTCACCCCGTTTGAGCCCGTAGCTTCCCTAGAAGAAAACTTGTCCTGGGGCCTAGACCTCGTGTGCTTTCTCGTGAGGTCATGAGCCTCCATGGCCCATAGAACCAGTGACTTGGGAGCCCTGCACAGTTTTGTCACCTTTCCAGCCATGGCTGTCTTCCTCTCTGACATGAATGGATATTAAGCCAGTCAGAAGTTGTGTCAGGGATGTTGTCATTTTATGCAAAAGACTGCACATTTATGTGTGTGTGTCTGTATGTGCGTCTGTTGGAACCTTATCTGTGTCCATTCATGTGTGAGTAGACCCATTAGAAGATGCTAGCTGTGTTGTGGGCTTGTGTATATTACACACCAGTCTCCTCTCTGATATCTGTGTTTACCAGAGGTAGCAATACAGATTGGCAAACCTCAGAACATTTTAACCAGTAATTTTATTCATTCATCTGTCAGTCATTTCTCCAGGACCTTCTCTGTGTGTATGCAATAAATGCCCTATTTTTAGCATCCGCAGTCAGTGCTGAATCAGACAAGGTCCCTGCCTAAAGGAACTGGATTCCCCCTCACTTTCCATTTTATAAGAGCAGCTAATACTGCTGTAAATCAACGTACCTGAACCTGATTTCCATTTCCTTTCCGTTTTCTGGTGCATGCTCATGAGCACGCAAGAAATGAAACAGAAAAGGAGGAAGGAGAAAAAGAGACCTAGTGCACTCATAATTAGAGAGTTACGGTTTGTCTTGTGGCTTCTGCCTCAGTGCAATCAGAACTATGTGCAGACACTGTTCGTTTGCTAAGGTGTGGGGCAGTGGGTGAGCTGTGGTGGCAGGATGGGGTTTTAGCTTCTGATAGGGCATTTTCTAAGTCTGTTGTAATTCCTCAGTGTTAAGTTAGTAATCTGAAGAGTGTTATGCATAAACATTAACATGTTTGCATGGGGGTACTTTGAAATCATTTCAAAATATCCCTTTAGTGACCCTCTGTTTCTCTGACAAAATAGTAAAAGTATGCATAATATTACTCCAGTGAGTTGACCACAGAGATTAAGACACTTTTCCCAAGGTGACTAAAAATCTGCAATTAGAAGTATAACGCAGGGACCCAGGTCTCCTGATCCGGTGGCGGACTGGTTGGGCTCTGGCCTCGCTGCTGGAATAACACTTGTGGCCACACGTGATGTTTTCAGACCAAACGCATGCTGGTGGAGAAGATGGGCCACGAAGCAGTGGAGCTGGGCCACGGAGAAGCGAACATCACCGGCTTGGAGGAGAACACCTTGATCGCCAGCCTCTGTGACCTTCTGGAGAGGATATGGAGCCACGGCTTGCTGGTCAAGCAGGTAACTGCGTCCGTGCCCCGGTGACATGGCCGTTAGAAGCCCTGTGAGGAAACGGAGCAAGGAGAAAAGGACACCATCATAATGAAAGGGTCTGTCTCCTTGTCACAGGATGACTAGAAACGCACCACGGGCGTTTCGATTCCAGAAAAAGAAAACGTAACCCGTGATTAGGAGGCGGTCGGGCTCTTTCCTGGTAAACAGGAAAGGATGAAGCAGCCCACTCTCTGCAGAGGCTCTACCCCCGTGGATTCCACTCAGGGCCGCTGTCACTGTCCAGCAAAGACGTCAGTCAGCCAGAATTAGCACTTCTTTCCATGTTAAGTTATCTAGTTATTCAGGATGGAAAATTTAAAAAAAAGATTAAGATGGTTTCTTTGCTTTTGTCTCTCTCCTGTCCCTTTCTGGTTTTGTGCTGTTTTGTTTCTGTTGGGTGCATATTTCTTTTCTTCTTCCCCCTTTCTCTTTCTCCTCTTGTCCCAACTTTCTTCCCTGGTTGCCATTCCATATGTTGAAACATATTTTGCATATGGATGTGCAAAAAAACCAGGTGCTGCTTAGAGCCTCTTAATTCCCTGGTTTCTGGTGTGGCTAGTATAGACAGTCCTAAACACATACAACTAAGGAACAGCCAAGCCGGGGTCAGCGATCTGTGTGCCTCCACTTCTGGCCTCTTGCGTAGTAGCTGCCGTTCCCAGCTGTTGCCAGTGTTCTCAGTGAGGCAAAGAATGACCCTCGTTACACGTGACAAGGAATGGATGAACTTGGGGCGCCATACTTCACAATGGTTGTTTCAACGTGAATGGTTTTGATGAGAAATTATTTTATGAGTTATTTCTTACAAAATGAAAAATTTTATATCCTTTGTACTTTCAGGGGAAGTCGGCTTTGTGGTCGCATTTAATTCAGTTTCAGGACAGAGAAGAGAAACAAGAGCACCTTGCAGAATCACCAGGTGAGAGTTCATTGGTTGTTTCTACAGAAGAGGCAGCATGGGACCACATGAAGAATCAGGACCATGTAGCTTTGTCTCTACCTCTCTCTCCACCAAAACTAGCCCCATCTTGTCAGTAGTGGGGTGAAGTAGAAGGAGCAGTATTGTTTACTAGCTATGAAGCCTTTCTGATCCTCAGCTTCCTCATTCACAAGACAGAAAAAATAATAGTATCTATGCCAAGACTGTAATGTTGATCAAATAAGATAACACATGTAAAGGATCACACAAGTGCAGCAGTGTTCTCAAATAATGTCATTTTTTCAAAGTTGTTTCGTTACAATGTTGATGAAGAAAACATCAGTTCCTGGCCTTGGCCATTGTCTCTGTGGAGTAGTCTCCAGGACTGGTTTCCTCCCACATCCCAAAGGTGTGTGCGTGAGGTGAATTGTTGCATCTAAGTTGTCCCAGTGTGCGTCAGTGTGGGTGTGAGTGTGCCCTGCGACAGCGAGGCATCCTGTTTAAGGTGGGCTCCCACCGTACCCCTGTTCTGCCAGGCTAGGCTTCAGCCACCTGTGACCCTGAACTAGAATAAGCAGATTGGAAAACCATCTTACTTGTTTTCTTAATGGTAACATGGGTTTTGTCAGACATCATTTTGCTTCAAGTCACAGTTTCTAAGAATTTACCAATGTTAAGTGAAGATTTACTGAATACCTTACTCTCAACAGTATTAGGGTGATTTTTTTCTGAAAGAAAAGTTTTATAACCATCATTCGTTTTTCAGGGGAAACAATGTGCACATATATCTCCAAAATCTTCAGGAGTGATATTTCTTCGTCAGTTTATAACAGAACATCATTGTTAGACGTGTCATACTTCTTTAGCTAATTAGAGTTATGTAGGATTCCTAGATAACTGGGTTATTTTTCACAACAAGGCACTTGCTTTTCTTTATGTAAAATAGCCATCTGTTTCACAAAATGTAGAACAGTGGAAAGCCTAGTAGAGATAGAATGTTTTATACTGAATTTGGAAAACTTTTCTAAAATTACAGATTTTTTTAGACATTCAGAAGTATAAAAAATTTTTTTAATTCATGAGCCAACCTCCAGCTTAAGAAATAAAGCCTTGTGTACAATGCTAAAAAAAAAAAAAGAAAAGAAAAGAAAAGAAAGAAAGGAAAGAAAAAAGAAAAAGAAAAAGAAAGAAAAGAAAAATAAAAAAGAAATAAAGCCTTGCAAATACGATTGAAGCGCTCTATTTTTATTCCCCTCGCTGCTGCGAGAGCACAGTACTACCCTAAATGTGGTGCTTATTGTTGGAAACGTAGTTTTTAAATGTAGCCAATGAAACAGATAGATACATGATTTTTTAAAATTTTAGTAATATGTTTTTATTGATTTCAGAGAGAGGAAGGGAGAGGGAGAAAGAAGTACAAATCAATGATGAGAGAGAATCATCGGCTGCCTCCTACACACCCCTTACTGGGGATTGTGTCCGAAAACATGGACACGTGCCCTGATGGGGAATTGAAATATGACCTCTTGGTTCATGGGTCAACGCTCAGCCACTGAGCCACATTGGCCCGGCTAGGAATATGATTTTGATACTGCATTCCCCTGGAGCCTCTTTAAAAAGAATGTTATGATTCTAAAGACCCAAATGTAACTATATTTATAAAGACTGGGGTCCACTTTAAGAGCATTCTCTAGTGTCCATCTCCCTTTGCCCCTTTTTTCTGTTGCAAAAGTAAAAATGCATTGGCATATACTCTGTAACACTTACCTCTGTTCATAGAAAATGTAGCTTTTCAGCCCATAAGATCATAATTAAAGTAGCTTACCCTAATTAGAAAAAATAAATTCCTAGGGGGCAAAATATATATTTTTTAAATATATTTCTTTTTATTGATTTCAGAGAGGAAGGGAGAAGGAGAGAGAGATAGAAACATCAATGATGAGAGAGAATCATTGATCGGCTGCCTCCTGACGCCCCCTACTAGGGATCGAGTCCGCAACCCAGGCATGTGCCCTTGGCCAGAATCGAACCTGGGACCCCTCAGTCCGCAGGCTGACGTTCTATCCACTGAGCCAAGCCGTCTAGGGCCAAAATAGCCATTTTTAGGATGAAATGCTGGAAAGCCAAGCTCAGTTAAGTCTGGGAGATAGAAGCCTTTGCCTCTTGTGCCAAGTGAGGCATGTGAGACTGTCCAGCTGTTAGACAACAGCTGCTGGGCAACACTGGTAGCTTCGTGGTGTTGGCGGGTCAAATGTTGGGCGGTTGAGCTGGAGACCAGAGACCCAGCTGTTTCTAGTGGCCTTCAGTCAGTCAGTCGTGGGACCAGCAAAACTCTGAAGTCAACGCTAAGAAATGCCAAGTGTCAGAGCCCCGTGCAGTCACTGTGCTGCACTGTCAGGTGCTGAAGGGCTAATGAAGCACAGATGAACATCAGCTAAAAATGTTACAGACCCTTAAGAAGATAAATATGAGCCATGCAGCTTTTGAAATCAAATTATTGTCTGTTTGGAGGAATGGATTTTATAAATATTGTTCTAACACTTTTGATGATTCAGCCCATGAAGTTAGGATTTAAAAATATGACAGTGTGAAATAGATATAAACACATCAGTTTAAAAATGAAATATTACATTATTGAGAAACAGTGTGTCCTGATTGTACAGAAATGAGCAGTTCATTGACTTGTCTGCTTTTAAATCCGGGTGTTTTATTTGGTTTGGTTTGGTTTTTCAAAAAATACTTTTTGTTTGACAACTATTAAGCTTCGTAATTAATGCATTTTCAGATTAAGGAAAGATCCTCCAACTCCTTATAGAGTCACAATGGGTTTAAACACTGCTCTTATTTTTTTTTTTTATTCTCTACAGGTTTCTTTTTAAAATCTTATTTATTGGTTGATTTGAGAGAGGAAAGGGAGAAAGAGAAAGAGAGAGACATTGATTTGTTGTTCCACTTATTTATGCATTCATTGGTTGATTCTTGTATGTGCCCTGATCAGGGATCGAACCCAAAACCTTAGCGTATTGGGACAATGCTCTAACCAACTGAGCTACCTGGCCAGGGCTAAACACTGCTCTTAACATTCAGCCAGGATGAGCCTAGATGATAGATCATTACTCCTTCAAAAGCAGCACTATACAGGAGTCAGAGACATTTTAAGAGCTGCAGAAGAATGGAAAAGGTTTGTCTTAACAAGAGGACCATAGCAGGGTTGACTTTCGTAATATTTTTTAGTAGACTATATTTTCGAGCAGCTTTTGGTTCACAGCAACATTGAGCAGATAGTACAGAGATTTCCCATCTACCCTCTGTCCTCCCCACAGGCCCCCCCCCACACACACACACACAAAATAAATAGCCTCTCCCATTATCAGCATCTCCCACCAAATTGGTACATTTCTTACAATTGGTGAACCTATACATCATCACCCAAAGTTCGTAGCTTACATTAGATTTCACTCTTGGCATTGAACTATGAGTTTAAACAAATACATAATGACATGTAGCCGCCCTTATACTGTCACTCAGAGTAGTTTCACTCAACCCCTGGCAACGGACCTTTTTACTGTTTCCATAGTTTTATCTTGTCCAGAATGTCATTAGTATATAATATAATGTCACCATATATAGCCTTTTCACATTGACTTCTTGCACTTAGTAATGTCCATTTGAGTTTCCTCCATGTCTTTCATACAGTCTTGATTTTGACCTAGTTAGGTTTTGTCTGTGTCCCTGTACAGAGTAGTTTGAAGTCATTTTACGGATAAAGGATCTCAGAATGCAGCTGGTCCTAAGAAAGGGGACTATTCTTGACACATCGCCCAAAAGTTTCTACTTTTAAAAATGTTGGCCAGCTTAGACGCAGGCTTGCATCTTCAAACAAGGTTGCACTAAACTGTAAATGATTTTTATTTTATATTTATTTTATTTTTTGTTCATCTTCACAGGGTATTTTTTCCATTGATTTTTAGAGAGTGGAAAGGAGGGCGGGATGGAGGGGAGAGAACCATCAGTGTGAGAAAGACACATTGATTGGTTGCCTCCTGCATGTGCCCCAACTGAGTCCGGGATTGAGCCTCCAACCCAGGTACATGCCCTTGACTGGGAATCAAACGCATGACCCTGTGGTTGCACAGGCTGATCGATGTTTTAACCACTGAGCACACCAGCCAGGGTTTTTATTTATTTATTTATTTATTTATTTATTTATTTATTTATCTTTATTGTTGAAAGTATTACAGGTATCTTCCTTTCCCTCCCACATTGACCCACTCTACTCCACTCCTGCCCCCTCCCCAGGTCTTCCCAGTATTATTATCTGTCCATGGGCTATGCATATATGCATATAAGTTCTTTGAGTAATCTCTTCCTGACCCCCATTCCTCTGAAATACGTCAGTCTGTTGCATGCCCGGACAGGGTTTTACATGGATTTTTCAGTGAATTGACAAGGGGTAGGGTAGGATGCAGAAAGGGGTAGAGATACTCCTTTTAAGTGGTTATTCTAGATCTAGCCCATCTTCATCAAAAGTTTTCTGTTAATTACTTGCCTCCTGGTAAACTGTAGATGGTTCTGTAAAAATAATGCATAGTCTCTGCAAAGGTGCTGCCTGTGCAGTAGCACTGATTCAGGCAGATACACAAAGGGAGTTCCTGTGGCTAAGTATTAACCCGCGAGGGTTTTCCTGAAGGAGAGGGTAGCCTACTGCATTTAAGTATATTGAAGTAAGAAATAGTATAGAGGTATACATTTAAGTAGTTTATACATTTCTCTTCTGGAGTAGACTCCATGGAAACCTTAGATTTTAGGTCTCTAGATTTAAAGTGTGGCTTCACTTCTTAACTAGTTAACTGCCACACGTCCAAAATGGAAACCATCCCCACACGCCACAATATTTTGAATTTAATTTAAAAAATCAATTTGCAATGAATATTATAAAAAAATAAATATATTACAATTCAGGTGTTCTTAAATATTTTCCGTTGAAAATTCTCATGAAA